GCCCATGCCGCTTCCAGGCATTTGAGGTGAGCCCAGGGATTTAAAGCTGTTGCTTCAGCCAGATGAAAATCTTCCATTTTATTCCTGTGGCAGCAGGGACGTAGTGGAAGGTACGGTTGATTAATGTTTAAGTACCTGAGAAGCAATGTCAGTAAACATTTGTGACGCTGATGGAGTGGCTTTTCTCGTGTGCTACGAATCTCTTGCCTGAAAAATCCCTTTTTGGTGTTTTCACAGGTCATTGGTTTTTCCTCGGAGACGGTGGCAGCCTTTATTGGTGTAGTTGGAATTCTTTCTATACTGGCTCAGGTGAGAAGCAATTTCTGGCTTGGCTCCAGCAGTCTGGTTATAAGAATGTCCAGAATTTCTGATAATTGGGGCTGGTGGCTCTGTGGCCACACCGTGCACGGCTACCTGCGGTCCCTCTTTCTTACCTTTTGAATGTAGCTATTGTTTGTTGAGTAACAAACTGTGGTAACTGTGGGGTGGCCCTGTGCCGCTCTGTGAAACTCCACAGATCGTGCTCTGATTGCCGTGGACTGGGATGTGCTGGTTTCTAACACAACGTTACGAGAGCAGAGGAGTGCACCTACATGATTGCCAGTCTCACAGCAGCATGGGTTCCCCCAAATTCCCATCCTCTTGTCTTCCAGTGCTGTCGCCTTTCTTTGAAAGTGCCTGTTTTTCTTTCCAGACAGTAGTGTTGGGAATTCTCATGCGTTCGATAGGAAATAAAAATACCATCCTGTTGGGACTGGGCTTCCAGATCCTGCAGCTTGCCTGGTACGGCTTCGGATCACAGCCTTGGTAAGAGTTGGCCCACGTTTGTCTCGTGCTGTCGGCAGGTTTCTCCCTCCGCGGTGGCTCTGCGGCAGCAGCAGAGGGAGATCCTGCCCTGCCACAGTGCTAGTCTGCGATGTTCCTCGGCATCCTGCCTCCTAACTGCTGCCTCTTTCCCCCAAGGATGATGTGGGCAGCAGGAGCTGTGGCTGCCATGTCTAGCATCACCTTCCCAGCCATCAGTGCCATGGTGTCCAGGAACGCGGACCCTGACCAACAGGGTGAGTCGCTGGGACGTTTGTCCAAGGGGCGAGTTTGTCCCAGCACATTCGAATTCTCAGCATTGGTGGTGGAGGGGCGGGCAGGAACATCTGTCGCTTTGGTAGTATTGACACGCTTGTCTTTGACCAAAGCTGGTGTTTTGGGAGAGAATTCTCGAGTTGTGCACATAGGTGTTCAGTGTTGGCTGGCTGAGGTAGAGAGGAGACTGCTGCTTAACGGTTTGCCTGCTTCATGGTTGGACCCCGAGTCCTCGGACTTGGCTGCCTTAAATCCCAGTTCAGTTGGAAATTGTTGCTCGATATGCTCGTTTTATTCGCCAAAGTAGCAAGCCTGGCATTACTGACCTTTGTAAAACCTGATACTGAGCGAAGCTGATCATCAGCTAGCCACTTCGTCTGCAGAGTGCGTGTCAGTCCAGATCTGAATGATTCATCCTGTCTTTAAATACGTAAGCATCCTTGAATAACGCAAGTTTCTTCAGAAGCTGTGAGCCTGTCTTCCTTCCATCACTCTGTCCCCAGGTGTGGTGCAGGGGATGATCACTGGGATTCGGGGTCTGTGTAACGGCCTGGGGCCGGCGCTCTATGGCTTTGTCTTCTATCTCTTCCACGTGGAGTTGAATGAAATGGCTGAGGTGGAAACGCTGGGTAAGGCCTCCAAACCCAACATGGCCAACCCTACAGATGAGGTAAGCTGTTCAGCTTTACCACTCCATTTTCTGGGCTGCTGCCGCCCTTGCACTTGAGCGTTAATTGTTCTTCTGTTTTGCCCTACAGAGCAGCATTATCCCAGGGCCTCCGTTCCTGTTTGGGGCTTGTTCTGTCCTGCTGTCGCTCCTGGTGGCCTTGTTCATCCCAGAGCACAACCTCGCGCTGAGATCGGGTGGCCACAAGAAGCACAGTAACGGAGCCCAGACCCACACCCACAGCCCGCAGGCTGGAGGGTCGGACGGGAAGGAGCCCCTGCTCGAGGACAGCAGCGTATGAGGTTGGGGGAGAAGGACCTGGCTTGCGTCTCACCTCCAGATCAAGGATGGACTGAGCCAGTGGGAGACTAGGCAGAGAGGGTGGGGGGAGAGGAGGAATGAGGTGACAGACTGTACCACTAACAGCTACTGAGAAGGGACGGGGTTTCCCTTCAAGCCAAATACATCCAGCTGGTGCAAAAATGGAATTGTATCACCTGGTGCTGGTGGAAGGGGGAGATGCTGAACTGCTCCACGTGAAGGGATAGTTCTTTAGAGCAAACCTGCCCTTGTACGTGAATACTGAACTTCATGGTGTGACCTGCCAAATACTCAACTCGCCAGTGAAAAATTAAGGAGCTAGCGTTGTCTTTGTTCTAATGTGAACTGAGTTACCAGCCAGAATAAAACAAGGCATCTGTTACGTGCCCCATCCCCTTACATAATTGGTACTTGCTGCTGATCCCGTCGCAGCTCGGGTGGCTAACCTCGGCCCGGGGAGAGGCTTGGCAGAACGTGCAGCCTGTGACAATACACCAAGGAAAAAGCGTGTGTGTGCGTGAAGAGCAGACAGGGTGGTCAACTGAGCAGATCCTCGCTGCTTGAGGATCTGATGAATTTGCCTGTTCTGGCCCAAGTGAAACTGAGACGTGCCCCACTCCACCTCCTTCAAAAAAAAAAAAAAAAAAAAAAATCCAATGACTTAATGTTCTGATGAAGATCAGAAAAATTAAGAAGTTGCAGCTGACGCAAGGAGAATGGGCAGATGAGAGAAGGGCAGCTGTGTGGCTTACAAATGCTTAGATGGTCAACAACGTTTGTGTTTCTGTTTGGTTTTTCTTTCTTCGTTACACTGATGTAACATTTATCTGCTGCTACCTCCGCAGGTAGTAGGTGGCAGGATTTTTCAGAAATCCTTTTCTGGAACTTGTAAGGGTTGTGTAGAAAATACAGTTCTCTGAGAGGTTGGAGAAACAACAAAACTCTGCTAAGCACTTTGATAAAGTGTGGTTTCGTGAGAAAGGTCAGAGAAATAGCTGTTTATCTTGAGCACCTCTATAAAGCACGTTGTTTTTTCCCCAGGCTCTTGCCATCTGATATTAAAACCAGATAATGACTGTAGCTTGGGGTTTTTTTTTTTCTTTTCTCAGTGCAAAAGATCTTGATGGTGATGATTGCAATTGATTTGAACTTACAGGTTTGGATTCCATGTCGCGTTTCTGAGCCAGCTATGAAGGGTTTCATTTTGTTGAAAAATGAATTGCAGCCTCTGCTGCGGGGTTCAGCTCTGTTTAGAAAGAGCAACGGATACTTGAACTTGAGTGTTGTGAAAGAAGCTAAGACAAATGTATAGGGAACGTTTGGTTGTTTATAGATATATAGAGATACGGCAGAGGGCAGGAAACAATTGTTCTCGTTTGAGTGAGATCAGAAGTAATGGCATTGAGTAATCACTGGGGAAGTAAGGACCAAACTGGGAACACTTAAGAAATCAGTTAAGGGAATTGAGGATGCAGCAGCCAAAAATAGTCTTGTCTCAGAGCGGGGTATGTGCAGTAGCTGTCGTTCTCTGGCTGGGGTCCCTTCTCCGTGGGTTTGGGACAGGTAACCTAGGGGAGAAGGGCCAAAGGAGAGGGAGCACTGCCACTTAACACCTTGGGTCTTTGCAAATGGATAATCGTGGCTGATGCTGTGCCTGTGCAGCAGCGACTGCAAGTGCCATTTGCCTCTGGGTTTCATGGAAAACACCGACTGGACGAGCCCAGAGAGCTCAGTCCCTGATGCGCAGCCGGCAGAAGCAGGGAGAGCACCGCCCGTCCCCTGCTCTGCCCTGGCAGCACAGCTCACCCGCGCCTTCAGTGCGAGGGGACGTGAGCTCGGGGGTCTTTTCAGCGTCTGACCTCTTCTGTGAGCTTGTCAGTGAGGGCTGGTTAGTGTCGGCTTTGGACAGATCGAGAGCTGCAATTTCGTGTAGGTCTCTTAAATGCCTGTCAGATATTAACGGCTTGGAACCACTGCCTGCCTAGACTGGGCTGAACTAATATAATGTCTGTTTACCAATTTTCTGGACCAGTTAGTTACTGAAGGTGGACATTTGAGTGAAATAATTTACAGTTTGTTTTGCATTAATCCGGCCTGGTACCCAAATCTGTAATCAGAACTGTAAAAGCAGATTATTGTCCGTGCAGAGGGCAGCCACACGGACTCTGAGGGTTTGCTGATGTGGATCTAATTGCAGGACTGAAGAACAGAGCTAGCAGAAACTCTTGGTGACCTGCGGTGACTCCAGTTTTCCCAAGCTCATTGTGGCAATGCTTCAAATTCCCAGACGTTATTGGGATGGTCTGTAGCATGCGTGCACAGCAAGCTTCTTTCCTGAAGGAAATCCAGTCACTTAAACTTCCAGGCAGCAATCCCAACTCTGTATTGCTCGCAAAAATGCCTTTTTTAGACCAGAGCTTTACCAAGTACATCTGGCGATTCATTTACTTACACTGTATTAAAATGAACTGAAGTAGGTTTGTCCCTCATACACAAATGAAGTGAAAACACCGAATTGTTACCTCGTTCACACTGAGGCACTTGGAGCTTCACGGGTAGAATATAGTGGAATGTTACAAAAAAGATGAGCATAATTTATATGATATAAAGTATATAGAGATATATTTTTTAAATTCCTTTCCTTTATTGAATAGTTTATTGAAATCGATGCGTTTCTAGTCCCATTCCCTCTCACCACTGCTGCTGCCTGTGGCGTCTCAGCCTCTCCTTCCCTTCAGACAGCAGAGCTATCCGGGCAAGCTTTCCTCCTTGATCCCCGTCCATCACGATGTGACACCCGAGTTTCCAGCGATGCCGACGTCCCCTGGTTAGTGAGTAGTGGACCTGGAGCGTTCCGGTCACTTCTTCAGCTGCCAAGCTCGGGGCCGGGCGATGCCGCAGGTTATGGCCGCATCCCCGGGCTGGTTGAAAGGCTCCATCGTGGCACAGGTTTCTTTGGCTGCCGGGGGGGGGGTCACGGTGCCGGGCGGCCACGCTGGCAAAGGGTACGCAGCAAGTGCCGTTCACAGCGCGCAGGTGACTTGTACATCGGTCCCTTGCTGTGCTGGCGCGGGGGCTGGCGCTGGGACGTGGCGTAGCCCTGAGCCTGGGCACCCGCTGTGGGTGGACCTGCTCTGGGAACGGGGGCTCTGCATGGGGCAGGGCCACTCACCTGCTCCGGAGTTTCTCTTCTTCCTGGCGCTGGGAGCAGGCAGGGATTCCTTCCCACCATTTTAGAGTTGCTCTCGCCTGGTTCGGTGGGGGCTCCGGCCCCAGGTAACTCCCCCCCCCGTCAGCATAGGGACGAGACCCCACCACCGTTCTGCCTTGAAGTGACAGAGGAGGGCTTGGGCCAAGCGGTGACAGGGCTGAAATTACCGGACCTGAATGAAGAATGTCCCATTCTGAAGGGCTGGTAATTCTGCAGCGTCCCACGGGGAGACTGGAAAATCTGTACGGAGCGTTCAGCTAGTTTTGCCAATTTTTGTTACTTTATATTCAAATGCAACTTTTTTAAAAGAGCCTTTTCTTAAAAACCCCTTGATCGTCTGCGTAGTGCCTGAGCCTGGCTGTTTAACATCAGTATTCCCAGAATTTGTCTGCAGGGACTTACAATTCAGGTCGGTAACAGCAATGCCCCAAACATCAGGGAAAAATTGGCTTTGTTGCCCTTCTGCAGTTCCAGTACTAATGGCAGCAGTTCAAGTGAGTTTAAACTGATCTTGTCGGATTAAAAAAACTGTCCTAAACCATTGCTTTCTCTTTTGCCATTACTTTTGCAAAATAGTGACTTTTTACTTCACTGGGTTTTATTCTTTTCTCTGCACTTGAATGGCTGCTGACATCCCTGATTATCTGTAAAACGTGGGCGTGTGGCAAGCTCACGTTCACTAAGAATGGCAGTACCTCTGCTCTCAAAGTTTACTATTGCGCGCATTTCTGTATCTCTCTTTTTTTAAGCTAATGATGAAATGTATTTATTTCGGTTCAGGTTGTGTTTAGAACTGGCTAATCTCACCCTCCGATGGATTATTTATTAAACTGCTGCTTTCCTGTTGTGTTGAAGTTCTCTGTCCTCGTCCTTTTCCCCGCCCGTGTTACCAGACAGCTTTTCAACCCTCCCCTTCCTTCTGCCCAGCACTCCCCTCAAGTAAATTGTGCTGAAGAGGTTGTTACAAAGAGACTACGCATCATGCCTTGTAAATTGACCTCCTGTCTCACAAGTTGTCAAGTTATTTCTACCAATTCCTTAAAAGTAAAATAATCTAGAGCAAACAGCACTTGGAACTAATTCATGTTCACCCTTGATCCTGAACCAGCTATCCAGGTTTCCACTGGAGTATTAAACCAGCAGTACCTCAACAGCTCAAACTTCTCCGGTGCTCCGGCAAAAAAACGTTCCAAGCCCTGGCCCGCTGCTCGTCGCACTGGAGGGGGGCCGAGTGCTTGTGCAAGAGGAAGCGAGGCAATATTTAGGGTATCGGGCCAAGGAGGGAGCAGCAAAATGCGCTGGAGGAGCGAGCGGTCTGCTGTGTGTGGAGGGGTCCTTGTGCCGCATCCCTGGCTCCTGCCTCCTCCCCGGCTGGTTTTAGCATCCCGGACTCTCTTGTCTTTGTTTCCAGCCAGGCTTAATTTAGATCTTATCTTACTCATTTAAACACTTCATTTGGTGATTGAGGATGGTACTAAATGAACAATGTAATCACAAGAAGTATAAACACATCCAAGTCAGCTCTTGGATGGGGTCTGGTGTTTGATGGCTGATATCCCGTAATGAGCTGGAAACACAAGCCATCTATTATACAACATGTTGCCTTTTTGTATTTATTTCCTCTGGACTTGAGGTTAGTTTTATTATTTCCATCTTTGAGAAAGAACCCTCAGGTTGTCTCATTTTGCATCCCTTTGGAGAAATAGGGAAGGTATTTCAATGCCGTATGTTGTTGGCACTCCTCTCCTCGATGGGGTGGTCGTTTCGGCGGCACGTGCAGCCCAGCCTTGCTGTGATGGGGATGCTGCGGCCGTGCCGCCGGGCGAGGGGCAGAGCCAGTCTGCGGGGAGGCTCCCTAGGGTGAGAGTCCTGTGTTTTGCACCGTGCAGAAATCCTTCATCTTGTTCCAGACATCCTCATTAGCAGCTACCCCAGCCCTGTTGTTTCTGATACGGGGCGTTAGCCCGTGCTGGTGATGACAGCCTGGGGCTACACCCCAGCCCCTGGGGCTCCGGCATTGCCGGCAGCAGCGTGGGGGTATCCTGTGCGGGGGCCAGCACTCGTCCCTCTGTGGCTTGTCTCTCCTTGCTGAACTGTGTTTTTTCCTGAGAAACGCCTCTGGACTGAGCATTGCCCAGCGAGAGCCCCCTGCTCCTAGGACCACGATCGGCTTCCAGGAAAAGTGTTGGGGCTTCTGATTCTTGAAAGCCGTCATTCCCTTTGCTCTGACCCAAAAGGTTTCCTGTTGGGTGGAAAACCGTCCCAGGGCCTAAGCTTGCTCTTTCCGCCCTGCGTCTGCAACCTGTTGATGTCTCCTTGCCGTGCTCAGGGCAGGGGGAGCTGCTTGTGTGCGTCTCCGGGATGGAGGGAAGGTCCCCCCGGGTCTGTTAGAGGAGACAACC